CAGAAGACCCAAAAAGAATCAAAATCCATAAAAGATTCTACTTCGAAAAAGTAATAGAGAAAGTGTGTCAAAAATACACTTTTAAATTAAGGGTAAAGCATTAATGGTAACTCCTCTAGATGATAATGAGCCATGTTCTGTAAATGAAGCTTTATTAGGACTTGCTAAGGATAAGTGAAAGAAAGAAATGAATGAAGAAATGGATTCTATGAGGACCAACCAAGTATGAAAATTAGTTAATTTACCACGTGGCCGAAAGGCTATTGGGAAAAAGTGAGTTTTCAAAATTAAAAGAAAAGTGGATGAATCAATTAATAAATACAAGGCTTTCTTAGTAGCAAAAGGGTATACACAACAAGAGGGGATAGATTATGAGGATACATTTTTTCTTGTTATACGCTTTAATTTTACCAGACTGATTCTATAAATTTTAAAAGGAATAATGTTGAAACTCCGTAATTTGACTAATGAATATTAAAAAATGAAAAAGTTATAACAAGAATAACACACACATATTTATATATACAATTTTTATTAAAAACTCAAACATTTATTGAAAAATTCAAAGTTAATCAACATAAAAATTAAATAATAGTAACAAGGATTTTTTTTTTGTGGCAGGGGGGCTGGGAACTTCTATCCTAATAACCTTACCATATTATATCATGAATTCGATACAAGTGTGTGTATTATAATTGTCCATGCATTGATATAATTTGAATTTAAGTATCCATTCATTCAATCCAAGTACTGGAAAATGGACGATCTCAGCTATGAGCTCATGCATGGAGAGTAGTGGAACAAAAGTGTAGAAGTAGAACAATGGACATAGAGCTAGCTAGAGTAGAAAATGAAATATGGTTGGGCTGAAAAGCTTGATTAGTTAATAATCACAAAACTAAGACTAAATTTTTGTAGGGAAAAATACAAAGACAATGAGTTTTATTTGTTCTTTGGCCCACAAATATTTGGGCTATGATTTCATGCAAAGCATTTCAATTCATGCAAAGTACTTGGAAGTTGAAAGTTGAAATGCTAATGAATGGTGTCAGCTTTTCATTTTTTTGATGAGACAAATTAATTTTTGAAAATCACTCATTAGCTTTAACTCTATTACATATAAAATCCCTCATGTTAGATGTTTAAAAATCACACCCTCAACTTTCAAATTTTGGCACTTATCTCCATACGGTCAAATTTGTGGTTATATTTAATGGAATGTAAGCTACATTAGATTATCTGAAAAAATGGATTTATAAATTCTAAATTTCATGAAGATGAATTATTAATTTTGGTGGAATTTTTATTAATTATCACAATATTTTAATTTACAATTCTTCTGATATAAAAACACATTCTTTTATGAATTTTGGATATATTAGTTAAGCTATGAATTTTTAAAGGAGGACTTCTAAATTTTGGAAAAAAATATTGACAAATTCATTAAGGCATACTCACTTATAAATCACATAAATAGGAGTTATGCCGTGAATTTCTAAAATATTTGTAAACTTCAAAAATTGACTTGTAAATTGCATGTGAAGATTTGTCAAGTATACTCTCTGTAATAATTATCTTCATTCATCCAAGGCATTATCTTTGCATTAATTCTAAAATTATTCTAGGTTATTATCTTTCTAGAGAATAATTGTATTATACGAGTGAGTAAATTTCTACTATATATTTATAGGTCTAATGTCATTGTGGGATCTATTTATGAGATCTTGAAGTCTAACTACAATTCTACCGAACCTTTTTTAAATCTATTATGATCCTTGATATCTAACAACAATCTTTCTCTAGGCTAAAAATTTAGAATAAAATCATCAAATAACTTTATCTTTGATTAATTTAGCAACTATAGTGACTATTCTTCAAGACTAATCATAGTTGCCACTATTATTGCTCTCCTAAGCTATACCTATACCTATTCCTCTTAGTCTCTTTTGGCTCTTCCATACTTTAACCAACTCATGTTTTAGTTCAAGGCATTATTCCAAATTACGAAATGTATTTATACTTTGGCCCTTGAAATTTTTTGATTTTTTATTAGAGTCCCTAAGAGCCATGCATTCTAGCTTTTTAGGGTACTTTTATATTGCTTTAATGGATTCAGTGGCTAGGCTACTTTGTTTATAAAAACATAAAAACTTGATAGCTTTATTTAAAAATTTTGTCACTTGATCTGATCTCTTGAACAGAAATACTCTGGAGTGAATACTTACAGTTGATCAAAATAATGGAGATTTAATGAGAGGCAACATTCCATCTTTTTTAATACATGGAGAATAATATTGTGCCACCCTAAGGTGACCATTGTGCCTTAAAAAAATAGTTAAAAATGCAACTTACTACTCATACTTTCTTATTTCTTTACACTTGTCAAGACTTGTGCTCTTTGGATACGCTAGTGGAAAATAACCACGATGCCTTAAAGTGAAATTAAAGTCACAACTTATCACTTAGCTTGCTGAAAATAACTTTTTGGAGAATCTTAATAGCACTAGTGACAACATAAGCACACGCGTAAGAGTCCATAATTGATCCATGTGGCTATGTATTGTGATTGGTGACAGTGGTTATAGCTTGAGCATTCTTAAGCATAGCTACTTTATTCTCAATGTCTGCATAGAAACCATTAACTAATTGTTCATGTATGTGTATTCATCACGTGGAAAATTCCAGCATGTTTTAGTGATTAATTCATTTGTAATGTCTGACAAAAAAAAATCATTTCTCATGGCAACAAGCAGGTGAGAAACTCTTTCTTTTTCAAATGCACTCATGGAGTCTCCTGTGAGAGACATAGGTCCCGTAACTTAAGCTCTCGCCATATGTTACAGGCTTTACGAGATATTTGTGAAAGTCTTTCGGTAAAATGCATTTGCATTCGGTGCACATCAAGCACCGTGTGGTGCTCATCATATCAAAAGCTTATCTACATCATTCATTTTATACCAATAAGATCTGTGCCATTCATTTTAAATTTATTTTTAACTATTATATTAATTAAAATAAAATTTATAAAAATGATAAAAAATTTAACATTAAATCTAGATTGTCTATAGTTCTCATCAAATGCTAATCAAGTGATGAGAACCAAGTTACTTATTACCTGTGATGAGATTTGGATTCAGACTTAAAATTTTAATTTTTTTAAGTAAATATATTTATCATTAATTTGGTCAATAGAGATTTAGTCTGGACCAACTAATTTAATATCATTTTTTTAATTTTATAAATTGACTATTTAGATATACTTTGAACAATACAAACATAATCTAGATGATCTAATTTAATAAAAAAATATAATTTTTACAAATCAATTATCTAGATACACTCTGGGTAGTACATATTTAATATTACATTTTTTATTATTTTTACAAATTTTTATTTTAATAAATAAAATACTAAAAATATTTAAAATAAATGTAAAATGAACGGTACAGATGTTTTTAGAATGAAATAGAGGATGCAAATAAGCTTTTAAGCTGACGACGTGCTCAACTGCTCTTCAGGTGCAAACGCTTGGTAAAATAGGATGAGGGAGAAGTCAAGGAATAAAATAATTATTTCCTTAGTACGTACTAGTTGTCTCCTTCTTTTATGCGTATAGCTATCTCAATGATAAGCGGGGAGGGAGAGAGGGAGACTAATGTCCAGAGTCACTGAATTTCCATATGCAGTCTTGTTCTATTGTGCCATTAGAATTATAAGGGCAGCATTGACTTGAACCAGAATGTATCGAAAAAGCATAAATATAAGTGTTTGTTTGATATATAAAAAGTAATTTTTTAGAAAGAAAAAGGGAAATATAGATTGGTGATTTTTTTCTTTCTTAAAAAAAAAACTTTTTTACTTACCAAACATTGAATAATATTGCGACTCCAATTTTTCTTGTCTTTGAGGGATGGGTTGTCCATCATGAAGACATCCACAACTTATGGAGCCCACCTTGTTGGAGCCATCACCTAGGCAATTTTTATCGGAAAAGTTTGATGCCACTTGAACTTAAATTTTTAATTAAATAAAATTTATGATTTAAAATAAAGAAAAGTATGCTAAAAATAATTTAAGAATATATTAATAAAAAATTTGAGATATTTTTAATGGAAATATGTGTGTTATTTTTTATTCACAATATCTGGTATGCTGAAACATTTTAGGTTTATGTTGAAAAATAAAGAAAAATGTTGCCAATTAGTAAAAATGTAACTTATTTGACAAGAATGTAAGGTCAAATAATACACCATCAACGTGAGGATCTTTGAATTTTGAGGGCTGCCGATGACCCAAAAAAATTAAAGAGAAGTGTTTCCATTTATATGACTTATCATATAAGTATAATAAATTATATGATAAGGGAGACTTGACTGTCGTCACTTTCATTACCTAACAAACTCAAATTTTTAGAATTATATGTTCATTTAACAAGCGACAATAGACAATTAAGAAGTAAAGTTATGCAATTAACTAGTCATTTAGGTGCTTTTTTTTTTTGAACAATGGTTAAACAAGCCTTGTCATAGTATTAACAAGTCAACCTGCACAATTAACAAGTGTTGTTGCATAATTAATAAGTAATGCAATTTAGTTGAAGAAGCTATAAATTTGACAAGCAAATTCAAGTAATTAACAAGTCCTATTAAGGTATTAACAAGTACATTACACGATTAACAAGTGATATGGTTATGTTGTAGGAGTCACAGACTTAACAAGGAAAGTTAAATAATTGATAAGTCATGTTAAAGTATTAACAAGTATAGTTACATGATTAACAGGTAACGTAGTTTTGTTGCGAGAGTCACGGGATTAACAAAAAAAGTTAAGTAATTAACAAGTCCTTATAAGGTATTAACAAGTAAAGTTACATGATTAACAAGTAATGTAATAATCAAATGGTTTAAAAATAAGGTTTATTATATATAATTTTATGCATTATATGATTGTATGAGTTCAATGTCTTAGTGGTCTTTAATTTTTGGGTGACCCAAGAAGTCATGGGTTCTACACCTACCTTGGCCACCTTTGGAGAATTAACTCTTCATATTTCTCCAGTCACTGCTGGCAGTTGGAGCTCTGGCAATGAAGGTCTAGTGGTTGTTGTCGTCGGCGAGGCTTCAGTCACTGGCGGTGGTGCTATGGCAATAGTGGTTGGTGATGTTTTAAATATTTGAACAGATGGTATTTTCATCTTTTTTTGCATTCAATTTATTTTCAATTTAGTCCTGAAAGACTGAATTGAAGTTTTAGATTTTTTTGAGTACCCACCAGAAATTTCGTGCCTTCCTATGTCCTTAACTAAAATTCTCCCATAAAAAAAAAAACTACCTATTTGACATTTCTTGTTGTTTCTTTCCTGTGATGGTCGGGCTAAAGAAGCTGATATTTAATTGAGGGTAAGAATTTGATTATTTTGCATATTTTTTTCTTGGGTTTTGAAATTTTTTAGGCTAACAATTAATTGGTTTCGACTTTCATTTTTTCTTGGCCTTGAAAATTATGCATGGTTGCAACTTATGGATAAGAAAAGAGAATTATAAATACAACTTTTAATTATGGTAGGTCTTCTTAACTTCACCAAATTCATCTTTCATTAAAATTTTATAAATTTAGCTATAATTAAGTTGATCTTTTAGGATTTTAGGATCTAAAAGTGTCATTTCCTTTTAAACATGGTTTATAAAAAAAAACAAAAAATTGACAACTTCATTTAGAAATTTTATCACTTGATTTGATCTCTTAGACAGTAATATATCGCAGTAATATATCGCAGTGAATAGTGACAATTGATTTTCGAACTATGTTCATATGTGTTAGGTTAGCCGAATGTAAATTTTGAAATTAAAATTACAAACAACATTATTATTGCAGACCCAACCGCCATTCGTTTTCTAATGCGAAATTTAATTGATGAACGCGACTAACAACTGCCATCCTGTTTTTTTTTTTTTTCACATAGTTGTCTTCTTATTTTCCAATTGTCTAAGTCAATTTGCTTCTTATTCCACAAAGCTTTGTTTTTTTTTTTGGTTGGTTAAGAAAATCTTTTTTTTTATGTAACATGTCTAAGTCAAGCTTTTGATGGTCTTTAATTTTATAATTTATTTAAAATTGTAGATTCAATACTGATTAGGCGCCAGCTTATTATTATCTCAAGTGCAATTAAGTTTAAAAAAAAACAGAAAATACACAAATTTGCTACATACATCAGCATTAAATCAACGGTGCTAATATTTTGTAATAGGCAAATTTGAATGGGCTCTGCTTTTTAAGCTTTTGGGTCAAGTAAATTCAACAATCTAACATTTCCTAGTATTTTTCTCCATCGCAAAATAGCTTTTGCATACTATTTTGTTAATAATAATTATCATAGTTTACGATTACAAAACGAAAAAAAAACCGGGGGGGGGGGGCTTAGGGATTTCGATTTTCTAAGCTCTTTCTTCTTCAGGTAGCCTTTATGTTTTCTTCATCTGCGTGATTTTCATCAGCAGCTAGCCTTCAGCATAGAAATTGAACTCACAGCTCTTGATTTGCACTGCCGCTTAGAATATTGATGTCAAAACCTACAGCTGTGAAGAACATTGATGTTCATCGCCTTCAAGGTTTGAATCCAACCCCCTCCACCGCCATAATCTCCTCAAAACAACAACATTAACTGATTTCTGAATTTAATAATAAGGGAAAAAAAAAAGGCTAACAAATGGATATAAGAAAGCTTGCATAATTGGAATCAGTCCCAGACTTTATTTTTTAATGCCCATAGGTGTGCTGGAAGTTGGGCACAAGAAGCTTAAAGGAACATTCCTATTATATACTGAGTATCACGACACTGCAATATCTTGAGGGAAGGAAGACGATGAAGTGTTTGGGAGATTCATTGCCTGCAATATCATGAGGTAATTTACGCCACTTTATTTTTACGCTAACAAATTAATTACACGTTTTCATTACTCTTATTTCAATGGTGACCAGCCTATCACTTTAGGATTACATATATATCTAGTGAATCCTATTGTTCTCCAAACTAAGAAGCCACTACACGAAAAAGAGAGAAAGACTTTAAGCCAAGAAAATAAAAAAGTCGTTGATGAAAGTAAACAATCAATGACGATTTTATAAGTCAGCTGAAAGTTTGACCATATGGGGAGACAGTTAAAATTTCTCAATATTTTTACATTGCAAACAAGCTTTAGCATATTATTTTTTTCATTCTAATTATCTATTATAAGCTGACGATTAATTACATTCTCATCAAAACTCTTATTTCAGAGCTGACCACTTAAGCACTCTCAAAGATTATATATAGTGAAGCGTTCTTCTCCTTTTTCTTCAACCTAAGAACCTCTGGGCCTATCCAACATGAGAAATCTTTGCTTTCATTTCTTCTTTGTTTTCTCCATGCTCTGTCTCATGGTTTGCCCATCTTTATGTCATTCCAAATTTACCCACAATGGATTGACACTTCTTGCTTTCACATCTTCTATTATAGACCCTTACAATCACTTGAAAAATTGGTCCAACTCATCATCTTCCTTTTGCAAATGGTTTGGAGTCACATGTGATTCTAACATTGAGAGAGTGACAATCCTGAGTCTTCCTGAGATGGGTTTTGAAGGCACCTTACCCTCACAAATTGAAAATCTGTCCTTCCTAGAAAAACTTGAACTGCAAAGCAACAACGTTCATGGTGGGCTGCCAAAAGAGTTGCTTCAATTGCACAAACTAGAAATTCTAAACTTGAGTTATAACACATTTAGTGGAGATATTCCAACTTGGATTGGGAGCTTGTTTATGCTTCAACCCTTGTATCTTGGCAATAATAGTTTTGGAGGTCCCACTCCTCAAAGCATATACAATTTGTCTAAGTTGGAGACCTTGGATATGATGTCTAATTCTATAAATGGATCTATTCCATTGGATATTGGAAGACTCTAACATCCAAAGTTTTTATGCATTTCTAGAAAATGCTTTCAGGTAGTATACCTCCAACTATCTCTAACTTATCATCACCTGAACACATCTCTTTATCTCTCAATTTCTTAGAAAGCATGCCTTGCATAATACGAGTGTGTATGAGATGAAAACATTTATTCTATTTCAAAAATGATGAATTCATCAATTTTTTGTAGTCGTTCATATCAGTCTTATAGGTGAAGTCAATCTAACTTGGGGCATGCTATTTACTATGTCTTTTCAAAGTTAATCCTTGAACCGAAAATTATCAAACATTTTACAATTACATGAAACAAATTAACTATACAACTATAATTAAGCTATCATCACAAGAAGTTATTTGACTATTCTTTATAAATTGTTCCTTGAATGGGTTGTCTCTGTCAAAAATATATTTCTGTTTAAGATAGAAAAGCTAATTAAATGTTATTTGAATTCTCTTTCAGCTAGGCACTTTTTTTGTTGTTGCACTATATAATTTTTGGAATTCCTTTTGTACTTTTCAATTGTCATAGGTTGGTGCATATCTATATATTATCTGGTTGGTAATATTGACCAGAGATCAAATTACTGAATACATATATGAGATACAACAATAATGAATTCCCTGAACTTATCACTTTTTTGTAATCGTTTATAACAGTCTTATATTTGATGTCAATCTAATTTGGGGAATGCTATTTACTATATCTTTTCAAAGTTAGAATTTGAACTGAAAATTCTCAAACATTTTACAATTACATGAAACAAATTAACTATACCTCTATAATTAAGTTATCATCACTAGAACAAATTAACTATACGACACAAACGGCCTCAATCTGTGCAGGAGATTCTACACCAACACCACAACAAACAACCGCGGCTCCAACCACAGCCATCAGACAAATCTCGACCAATAGGCAAGATGCTCAGCACACTAAAGAATGAGCCTAAAACTGAAGAACATGAGGTTCCACCAAAATATAAGTCAACTTCAAAGTACAAGCCTCCCACTGCTAGTTAGCCGATGATCATGTCTATCATTGAAAACCTAAATAATGCTTATGTTAAGTGTTTGTTTGATATATGGAAAAGTATTTATTTAGAGAGAAAAAGGAAAATCTACCTATCAAACTGTGAATAATATTACCATTCCCCTTTTTCTAGTCATTCAGTTTCCTTGTTTTGAGGAATAGGTGGTCCATCATGAAGACATCCACAACTAATGATGCCCACCTAGCTAGGTGAGTTTCATTAGTTCTGTGTCTTCTCATAGGAAGTTTTCCCTTGCTGAGATTTGGACAAAATCTCCTTTATAATTCAATAACGGACTTAATTAACATTCCAACGTATAACACCAATTATCGATGCTAAAAGTTCAAGGAAAAAGAGTTGTACTTTGATTAACAACTATATTTTTTAGTCTAGTAATGACACTGTATTATTCACCTCTCATTGAAATAGGTGGATGGGAAGAATACTGGTGGGCTCCAAATAAATGGAATTTTATTTTCTTTTTGTGACATGAACGAACTATGCTCCCGTTAGTCCTATAAGGCCACTATAAACTTTTTCACAACCAAAAAATGATAGTTGACTAATTAAATTGTCTTACATGAAACAAACTTCTAATTCTACCCGCATTAAAAATAGGAAAAGAGGAATACATAATATATGATAAGCTATAAAATTAAATTTACAACAGGAATACAATTGAAAAATGGTCATAGATAACTCCCCATGTATCCTATATTAAGGATCAAATAATGTTTCTAGAAGATTTTCTATCGGATGAGCATATGAATAGATGTAAAAACATCTGCATCAACATAGTTTCAACAATATTAATTTTTAACATTCAAAGGAGCTCCATATATGGTTTTTTTTTTCCTTTTGCCGAAACTCCAAATATGTTCCAATTATTGAAAAAATAGCAATTCAATTTCTTTGCACCCATCAATGTGCAGTACAAGACTTGAAAATCTCAATCATACAACGTCAATAGTTTTGTTATCAATCAAAGCATCTTAATACTTTGGATAACGCTTTTTTGAATTTTACATATTTGGCTATTGCGTCAAAAATTTATATTTTATAAATAATTGGTGCTCTGATCTCTTCTATGTTCATCTTCCATGTGCTTCATACTAGATTATGCGTTGCATTCCATATAATTTTATCATAGGAATTAGGTGATGAATTAAGATGAGAAATGTGTGATCTAGATCTAGGAAGAAAACCATCATTAATCTAATTAGTTAAACTTAAGATAACTGTGACAAGTCAAAGTCATGTCATCATTCAATGTTTTTAATTAATTTAATTTAATCAAGAGATAATTATCAATTGGAAACATCATATTAGATCAAAATAATCTCTCAAATAGAAATACTTAATAAAGGGACAAAATATAATTAAGGATGACTGCTCTTTCAAACCAACCATAATTTTAATTTTCTGGTAAAAAAAAAAGAACAACCATGATTTTACAATTAAAGTTTATGGACCCATGATTTTACAATTACGAAAACCAACCATGAATATATTTAGCCATCAATATCAACATATCAATATAAAATATATTACTCTCTCTATTTAAAAATATAAAGTATTTTTTGGAAGGTTGAATGTTAAAAAACGTAACACATTTTTAGTATTTCAATGTGTAATCATTATTTTTTTTAAAATTAATTTAATTAAATAATTACTTTATATTTATTTTTGAATAAAATACTCTATTGCATAGGAGTAAATATAAAAAGATAGTATTAGTTTAAAGAAAAATAATTACTTTATTGAGAGTAATATTTGATCAAAAGTGCTTTATATTTTGTAATGAAAGGAGTATCAACAAAGGAACGATCCATGAAAGAAATTAATATCTCATAAAAACTCTGGATAATAAATTGTATACTTATTAAAAACATGCATAATTTCACTTATCAATTTGTTAATGTTTACTTGTTAAATACTTGTAAGATATTCTTATAAAAAAAATACTAGTTAGATATCACATTCTTTTGAGGTCCTCATCAATATTCTCCCTATAAAATCAATGCTGGTCAAAGAAATATCAATATAAAATCAATAACTAGTTGAACAATTAACAAATTATAAATAACGTGGTTTATATTCCCAACTTGGTCCAATATATTAAAGGTGAAAAAAAAAAGAATTACTTGAGAGAGAGAGTGTCACACCCCAATATTAAATAATGTGGTGTTATCAGCATGAAATATGAGATGAACTCATATTTTATAAGCCTTGATTGATCAAGAACTAAGCTAAAATATTAATATATGTAAGTTAAATATAGTAATAAAGTTTGTAATATTTTAAATGTTTTGTAAAAATTTGGACGGAACCTCCTCCCCTATAATTTAAACCTCCTAAAATTTTTATGACAACCATAGAACTACCAACCAACCTAGCAAGGAGACTAGCTCCATTTCAGCAAATTGCATAATAACTAAATAAGATTAGGTGCTAACTATGGTGTACGTGGAGCACTAAGTTATGATTACAAAATACAATACATAGTTTTATCAAAAGTAATAATTGCAATGTGCCTCCTCTTTTCCAAAAAGCAAAAGGCCTCTCAATGATTTGTTGAAGGTGTATAGTTAGCTACACTATCTGAGACAAAAAAAAAATTACTGGTGAATAGCGTTCCAATTATATACATGTAAATAAATATATGGAGGCATTAACAAATAAATTTAATTTAAAAATTTTGAAATAATGAAACATGAACTCAAACTAATAATAATAGACAACAAGTTTTCTTAATGATACAATCATGAATTTAAACAATGTCAATAAGATAAAGTAATTTATCAAAATTTATAATGTTCATATAATATAAAAATTTCAAGAAACGGTAGGTAGAATGCTTTTAAAAAAATAATATAAGAATAATGAATTTTAAGTTTAGATCTAGGAGGGCTTTATCAAAACGAATAGCAAGCATGGACACACAGTCTACGAGGATAAGTAACCAATTAAGCATGACTGAAAACCACCAAACAAGCACAGCAAGAGCCACGAATCAAGCGCAGGCATGAAGCTCACGAAAACAAACGTGAGTACGATGCTCATAAATAACCATCCCTCCATTTCATGTGTGTTGGCCTATGCATGATGCTAGCATCTCTTATAAGTACCCTGCTAGCTAGGTGTACCATGGCGCGCCAAGGGCTAATGAAATTGTCGTTAGCATCCAACGTTCTAAACTCAGTTTCCCTCATTAAAATCAAGCATGCATAGAGAAAGAAAATAATTTCAAAATTCTCACTTTCAAATATTATTCAACTATCATTTTCCATTACCCAAGATTGTCATCATTTCCTTCATATACAAATCATTGTAATAAAAATTTTATATCAACGCGGTATTAAATAATTAAATTGCTTATGAGAAACAATACTATTAATATAAAAATAGGATTAACAAGAATATGTAAATAATTTATAAAGCAAGAATAATAATATTTAAATAAAGAAAATTTTTATAAATAGTTTACTGAAAATATATTCAAAATGCCACCTACTCACCTGAAAGTTTTCAAGAATTATAAAGTTTGACCTTCTCAAATTCTCACTTACTTCAATAGTGCCACAAATAATCTAACACACAAACAATCTATCTTAATGACACTGTAATTTTCCTTCTTGTAATAAGCAAGAAAAATTTATTTTCAAGCTCTTCGATAATCTTTTAAATTATCAATCAAATACCACTTTTAAAAAAATTCCTTTAATTTTCTATTCAACCTTCATTATAGAAAATAAGTGTTTCCTATAATAATTCAATCAACAACTATCCACTCTCAAAAATTTAAATAATTACATATTAATTTCATAATTAAATTTTCTTTTCAACCTTCAAAATAAGTGTATAGATCAATAACACCCATAAAAAATATACTTCTCACAATAACTAATGAAATTTTAGCAAAATACCAAAATTTAGAAAAGTTTTTCTAGCAAGTATTTCATCAA